TTTGAAATTATGAACATTGCTCAACATCATGAAAATTAAACCTTATTTTCAATAAGCAATCCTGAAAAATATTTGGGGGTGCTAACTTTTTTCCAGGTGTATATAACAAATTCGTTATGCTATAACGTTTACTGCTCACAGCTTATTAGATACAAAATAATTTATTCAACATTATAAGGTTTCGTGGACAGAGCTCATAAACTCACTCTTATTTTACATAAACTAGGTTTCTGATACTACATTTTTATCGAGTATAATTTTGCGATAAATTTAAGTTTTCTTGCTAAAAATTCTGAGATTAATAATGTTACAGAAAATCACCTATCACGTCTATACCTTGATTTTTTAACTACTTTTCTAAAGTAATATTGAGCAGCCCTCTTATGGTAACCACTGTTAATTTTACCTTCCGTTAATTTAAACTCTCACTTATTATGCAAGCAATTCTTTATACAGAGGATGAATAGGTTATATTAAAAAGATTTTGAAGGTTCACCACTTTGTTATAATCGTTGTCCCCTTGTCCAGTCATACTCAATCTGACGGCCTGCATTTGGCAATAGCCTTGCAACATAGTCTTAACAGCACAAGGCTCCGTCGTAAGGCTGCCATAAGTCCTTTCCATGATCCATCTAGTGCAAGATGACAATAGTTTCCCAGCACCCAATTCAACGGTCTAATCACAAATAAATCCAAAAGCGCTACATCTGACGACTTGGCCGGTATGTCTTCATATGGAATAGCATTAATACCCGTTTCATTCTCCAGCTGCTTGAGGTATATGTCGTGGAAGCAATTAAGGTAGACGCGACTTATATCACCTTTTTTTTTTTTCCAAACAGAGATCCTTCTTGATTACGTTGCATACTGTTGCCTAGAACACGTGGGCGGGTTTTGTCACTGACCTGTGTGTTCCTGGATTATCGTATGTTATAAAATGCTGTGCATACCACGGTTGAGGAATAATTTGTTGCGAGTCTCTTTCTTGATGGTCCCGGGTTTCCAAGTTGTTCCAATTTTCCTTTCTTTTTTCTTCTAATGTCATTAAAATTTTATATCCTCGATATGAACACATCTTTGTTATCTTAGTCTATGTACATTTTATGTCGGAACGACTGTGCCATATCTTTCCCAATACAGATACATTTGCGGTGCTATCACACTTCAAAGTAACACCAAACCATATTATAATGTAGTTTTCATAAATACTATTCCGCGACTTTATATCGGTTGTTTGTCACGTGACTTCTTGAATTGCACATTAAAAATCATTTTAATATAACGTACCCAATCCTATGCATGTATAACATTGTATAGTTAGATTGATTATGTTAGTTTCTGTTAATTGCTTTGTGATGTTTACCATTGATTTTATTTACTTTAAGTCTTTTTATTTGTGTCTTGTTATAGCATATACGTTTCGACTTGTATGTTTCGCCTTCCACTCAATAAAGTGACCATGCGTTTAATTGTTAGTTAAAGTCAAATTAATTATATTACACACATTTTAACCCTCTAATTAAAATAACTAATATAACCAGCTATTTTTTGTATATTTAATTTGGTGATTTTGTTTTCCATTTTGATAAATATTAATTACTTTTCTGTACTTTATTTTAGTTTCAATACTGCTTTTAAAACAGTTATCACAAGTTATCTCATTTAACTCATTAAACCCGAGCGGGCGCTCCCTACGTCCGATAACATTTATGTGTCTCTTTGGCTGAAAGCTAATCCAAACAGATTTCTTCAGAGTTTTCTTGTGAAGTCTAACAATTTGTTTACATGAATTGTAAACTGAAAATGGCGGGTGGAAAGAAGTCACCAAAACTTTCTTCTGTTGAGCAAGCAACGTGTGTGTTCAATCAGTTAGATGAAGGAGGGAAAGATGGCAATGGCGATTCTGACCTTGATATGACTTTGGAAGAGACTACTGATGAAATCAACTCACAACAGTCATCTAGACCCAGTTCCAATGCTTCTCAATCAGCTGATCGGAGGGGGCATTGCCCCAGCCAGGATCTAGTGGTACAAAGAATCCACGAAAGCGAACCCCAGCTGGACCTGATCCACCTCCTAGATCTACGTCCACTACCAGAACCAGAGATAATAATTGGGCTGAGGTAGATCTGCAAGATAGGTCAACCACAAGTAATGACCAAGATTGTGACGAAGAACAGGCATCATCCTGGTGTACACGCTGACATCGATGATAATGCCCCTCGACTGTTTCAGAGCTCTGTTTACAGAAGATGTAAGTAATCCTTTCATCACTGCTATCAATGAGTGCGCCAAAGAACAAGTTGTAAAGAAAACGCATACTCAGAGACGTTCTAGGTATTTGAACTGAATTCTCTTTACTCACTATGAGCTGCTGAAGTTTCTTGCGATGACAACACCAATGGACATCTACAAACGACCTAGCATTCGAGACTACTTCGCCACCCAACAGTTTCTCTACACACCCTTCTATCACCAAATGTTCAACCAGGAGAGACTGGAGGCTACTTACTTGGTGCGGATACTCCTGGTGCTGAAGAGAAAAACAAAATTAAGAAAATTAAAATTTTAATGTATAGTGATAATTAGGACATCACGAAAATAATTCCGGCAGAATGCATAAAAAATTATGGGTTTAAAAGAATTATTTTTTCTTCTTCTCCGACACACTTGCTTAATAAAGCTGTGATCTTCAGCAATAAAATAAAAACAACGAACAAAGGTCTTGGTATTTTGTCGACTGTAATAAATATAGGATGGATAAACAATTTTAAAAAGCAAAGTTAAGTAGGATATAACTTAATAATTCATAACAGTTTAATATATTTAACTATTTACATAAAACATATTTGATGGAATAGTAGTAGTAGTTGTAGTCTTTTTCCACCACAGGGAATGGAACCCCTCATTCTTGAATTCATAAACCAACCCAAAGGGGAGACTGAAACAAACATTTGGCTAAGTTACAAATGCATAACTATTATTTGGCAGAATACAGTTTCAGTAATTGCACGAAACATCTTAAAGCAGCACCTTTATAAAATTACGTAATATGGATAAAAGGTACCAATAATAACATAAATATATATCAATAACACATCTATAGCTCTTAATTTCCCGCTTATTTATCAGATTTTAATTCTTTTAAACACTAACTTTTTTGAAGAGGTAAATGATACTCTTCAGAAGTTATTTTACATAAAGCTAGTTGTTTTTTTAGCTACTAATTACTGAACTTACATGCCCTCAGCAAAATACCTTGAAAATGTTAACTAATTCAGCTTTGCTGGATACAGCCAGTCATGTTATTCTTATGTACTCTCAAATCTTGAGAAACAGAATGTCATGAATGTACATTTAGTTTTATGTCTGTTACCTAAAGTGAAAGAACAGATAAAATCGTTTGTTTTTTTAAACTGAATGAAGTGAATACAAAAACCTTCTCTTTATTATTTAAGTTAGAACATACAACTTATTTTGATTGTAAAGTATATTCTGTAATGATAATAACAGTTTCACTTTAAAATATGGATTTGAAATAAAATCCATGAAAATATTTGAATGGTCTTAAACTAATTTAAGAAAGAAAACTAACAATTAATGAACATTTGATCAGGCTATACCTTTGAAAAGTTCTCTTTAATAAATAAGTTGGCATTTTTGACAACATAACCTCTTTTTGTTGTACAAATAATTTATGTACAGACTTTATCATTAAAGAAAACAATATTTGGCCGGTTTTTTTCACATAATTCAAAGTTAATTTTAAAGAAAAAAAAAGGAATTGTACACAATAAACATTTCCACTTTTGTCAAGAAATATATTTACTGTTCTCATAATACAGAAAATGGCACACACACATACATACAGTTGGAAAAAAAACCTAATAATACCAGTGGTCATACACTGATAACAAGGTTTCCAATTCCTCTAAGGACACAATGTCAAATATAAAACCTTGTCAACACTACAAAAAAAACTTTTTAAATTAATTTTCATTCACTAACTGTCAAATATTAATGTAACTTTAATAACAATTACCTATCAAAAATATATAAACAAACAAATTACGACTGTGTATAAATAATGAAAAATAACACCAAAATATTAAAATACATACGTAAAACCAAATAAATAAATAGCACACACGTGCAACTGATCCAGATAAATCAAATTAGTTAAGTCTTATTGCAGTGTACTCTAATAACTAGAAACAGTAAATAAGTAAAAAGTTAAATACAGAAAACATACAAACTAGAATATTTAAATAACTTATGTTACATTCAATACATATTCAAATCTTTTAAAGGTGAAGCTGTTATTACTAAAACTGTCTTTCTAAGGAAAACAAAAATTACAGCACTAAAACCAGACAAGATTTATGTGGGTCACAATTTAACTTTTATCAGGTAGGGATGAAAATTAAAAAACACAAATAATTGTTAACCAGATGTAATCTTTGAAAGATAGATACACTTTACAATATTTGGAATAAGCATTCAAGATTTTGTTTATATAGAAAAACAGAGTACTGATGACATAATTAACTAAGAACAACTTGAAATAAATTAATTGGGAATCTTTTTCACCAAAATGTGCAACATCAATAAAGAAAAGAAATAATCCATGAGCAATATAAAGGCTTAATCAAACCTTGCAACTTAAAATAAGCTTCATATACAGTTATTTTTGTTGCATACATTTCTAGAATTAAATTTTTGTTTACTGAAGACATTGGTGTTATAATATTACATACAGTGCTATATACAAATCATAAAAGATCGTTTCTAATACCCTGGAATAATGCAAAAATTGCACATACATAAACAATACAAAGTTTAACTATTTTACAAATGGTGGTGGTGTGAAGAATTCTTAACTATTTCAGTATTCAGTAACTTTACATAAGAAAGCATAACAAGGGGAATTGAATTGGTGGGTACACATGAACCTTAAAGGAGCATCTACCTTTATCTTCCAATTGTATTACATTATTTTCAAACACTACTTATTGGTAACAAGTGTTTGGAACATTGAAAATTACCCTTAGTCAGCAGTTTTCAATACAAATACAATTTTTACTAACCCTCTAGCCAGAGGATGTTGCCCAATAAACGCCAAATGCTGAAGAAGATTCCTAGTAATTAAAGGAACAAATTAAGTCAGTTGAATCATAAAATAATTAGATTTATCAATAACAGTTTTAATTGCTCTTGAAGTTAAGTAATAAGAGTAATGGCCAAGGTGCAGCTCACTCGCATAGCATAACTTTGGAGAGTTTTTACTCAACTTACAGGAATACCTCAATTATTGAAAGTGAAGTAAATGGTATTTGAGTTATCTGAACTTCTATCCATTTCCTACTTCTGAATGTTTTAAATGTTTGACAAACTTTTTTTTTACTCTTTTGAAGATTTACAAAGCTGTATTTGTTCAGACCATTTATTCTTTAATATTTAAACTAAAACTCATCCTACACTATCATACAATACTAAATGTTAGCCTTTACTGAGAAGATACTCCGAAAACACCAGTATGATAAACTTTGACTCCTAAATTGTTTTTCGGCTCAAGAAATAATGCTCTTACAAAAAGAAATAAATGATTAAGATAAAAGGGAAGGGAGGGGGTAAGGCTACACCCCCTTTCTTTTTTACTTGCTCTAAAAACTCTTATTAGATCATCATATCAACTCAAAAAAGTAAGAGGTTTCCCTACAACAAAACAATCTTGCCACCAAATGTTTCTGAATTACCAAAAATCACAAATCATATCTTAAATAATATCAGTTTCTCAGGTCTGAAAGTGATGTCCATAGGAACGTAAAAACTTTAACATTAATAGATTGTGGCTTATCATCTTGTTAATATTGTAATTACTGCTCATTATATCACAAAACCTTGTCAATGACATCTTTCTTTGTTTTCATATATCTAACCAATTTTGAGCTGACAGTGTTTATTTCTTAATTCTTACATTTGTTTCTACAAAGATTAAGATTGGTATTTATATCTCTACTTTAGATAACTTTTTAGTCACTTATATTTTTAATTGTATATTATTACAAATTCAATCTTTCTGGATAAAAATACACCAAAAAGAACATTTAACTATTAAATTAATATGTAAATCTAACATCCTATATAAACTTGGTTCTTACATACATTTCACTGCATCTATTTACAATAATTTAAAGTAAAACATGAAGAAAAAATCACCAACAATTACAAAAAAAAATATTTTCTGTTTTCTCCTTTATGTCATTTGTGCTAAATCTCAAAGAATTCAGGTTAAAAACTCCTCTGTTAAACCACAAACATCTTCAAATTGGAAAAATCAGTTGAAATCTTAACTTCTAAGATTATAAAGTTAAGAATTCATCTATACAAAAAGAAAAATTAAACAGCTATTTTAAATCTACAACATCAGAGCAAAGTATATATTTAAGGAGTTCATTTGAGAATTACAAAGTATTACTACAGTTTATCTTGGACCTCAAAATCTTTCATATGTTAGTTGTAGAAAATTTAGAACAGTTTATTGTTGATTATTCTGTTTGTTATTTATCATGCCTTTCAAATTACTTTAGTTCAGATTTCCAACATTCAAAACTAGTGGAAAACTTATTCTTGGGCAGTGCTAAAATCTTTTGTTAGCTCAATGGAACTATTCATCGTACAGTCTTCATTAACACTATTGTCTTGCATGAGCAATACTAGAATGAAAATTGATAAAAATTATACTGTACATACAAAAATATCAGTGCTGTCACTTGAGGGTCCAGTCCAACAGATTGATGATGAATAACAATACTAAGTCATCAACAAGTGGACTATAAAAAAAGAATAGTTCTTTGCAGTGTACAAACTTTTTCTCCACTTCGTTGGTGAAAAACATATTATTGGTGGTCACATGTTCAAAGCTCTGGATCGAGATAGCAAGTTAGTTGATTCGGAAGCAACAAGTCCTGCAAAAGCTGTGGACAAGTTTGGTATAGATGTTAATTAACAAAACATTTTATCAACAAACTAGATGTATATATATCATTATTTAATTCATATCATAAATCATTGTAAGCAAACTTTGCTAGAAAGTTCACTTTCATTAATTCATGATATGAATTATATATTTCAGAACTGTAAGTAAATAAAAACATTGGTTACAAGACAATTTTAAAGTGTGGTATCAACAGTAATGCTCAATTTAACTTCCTATATAAAAACTTAATTCTTAAACATATTAAAATTAAATGAATTGCAAATAAATAGAAAGAAGTGAGATCGTCATCAAGTATAATCTCCTTATAAAAAATAAAAATATTCCCAAAACATCAAAATTTTGTACTTTTAAATTGGCTGGGTGCAACTAAAAATCATGTTTATTATAATGAAACTGATTTGTGCTATATTAAACCATGCCACTTAAACCCTTTCAAAGTGTATTTCACGTACTGAACACTATTACATATTAATAGAATGATAAATAAAATTCACATAATAAAGGAGAAATTTAATTAAAATATCAAACTTACCACGATCTGTGAGCCCATAATCAAAGTTTTTGTAGACTTTAATCACTTCTATACAGATGTAAATTTGAAAAAGAATCCCAAAAATTCCTGTATTTATAAATCAAAAAGAAACATTTTATAAAAAGAATGGAAAAAACTAAAAACAGTTGGAGCATATTTTAAATAATTAACATTTAAAAACAAAAACATCAAATTAGAATAGTTCATAAGTATCTATTTATGTAGAAAGTCTTGCTGACAATATCAATTAACACTTTTGAGATGGGTCACGGGTGAAAGGCCGTCATCTCATTTGTTGACTTGCATTCAAAATTTTATTGAACTACTATTTCATGAATTTATGTCAATAAGTTTAGTATCAAACTGTAGATTATAATTCAAGTTTTAGTACTATACATTACTAAGTTTCTTAATTTAAAATGAAATATTAAAAAAGCACAGATAAACATAAATTTTGGTGTCACGTCGTATGTTAAATGCAGCACTGGTTCAAATTAGATGTTTGTGAAGTCAAAATACTAAGTCTATAGTTTTGAACGAATTAGAAACTCAAATTACCGATACAGAAAAGTTATAATATAAAATAAGAGCCTCTTATCTTTTCAATTTGCTAAGATATTGCTCATGTAATAAATCAAACACAGTGGCACCCCACCCACCTCTTTCCATTTTTAGAAACACTCCTTATATACACTTACTTCTATATTTGACATGAATAACCAATCGGAAACTCAGAATGTCCCCCTAGTGGCTTTCTCAGCCATGTTAACAGACTTTTTCAAAGACACACCCTACCTCATTAAAATATTGGTTCAAAAAAGTCTGCTCGAAATTTCATATTTTTTTAGAGTAAAATATATCTTTATAATTTATAGTGGAATTCTATGGTATTAATGTAGTAATTTATGATTTTATAAATATTCATATATATATATAAACTAAAAAAATATTGTTTCATATCCTCCACATGCAAAATTTTAAAGGCTTAACAACCTACGTAAAGCACCAATCGAGTACAAAGGTCATAACGAGAAGAGATAATTGTTTGCTTTACTTCTTTATTTACTATTCTATGTTTCAGTAAAAATATGTTTAAGAACTAATTTCAAAAATAGCAATAATCTATATACATATATAATGTATAATAATGCAAGCATATTTTACAAAATAGTCTACTAAAACACAGCCAAGACAAGTTACTTTGCACAGACCAAAGGTCAGTTTTGTTATTTGATACAGTAACACGAGTGCACAAGTTAACCAGGCATGGCTGAAAGGTCAATATAATAAAAATAATAAATATATATAAATGTATAATGTTATGAGATTTAAGCTA